CAGTAAATGGGCCTCATAGTGTTTAAAAGTACAATGTTCTACTTTAATAGAAAAACGGCAACAGAAAACAGAACTTCTAACTTAAAACTGAGCTCTGTGAGCGCTAATCTGGAAGCTGCTGCTGCAGTGCATGCTGGGACAGCTGCCAACCTGGAGAACGGACAGGTCTGCTCTGATGCATGCTGGGTAAAGAGGGAGGGGCCAGAACAAGAGTCGACGGCTTTGTCCGTTCTCGATCATCCTGATCTTTTGAATTGAAACAGTAATAGGACTGAAGCTGATGACGTTTCACGAGGACATCAGAACGTAAAAGTACACATATTTAGAAACGTCCATGTCTGGAAAAACTTCAGGTTTTGACATAAAGCTTTCCACACTTTCAACCTTAGCAGACACCAGAGCTGCCCACTGTCAGCAGAGCTACATCAGCAGCAATATCCCAATGCTGACAAACTGTGGGAGGAATTTTAAAGCAAACCATCCATCTTTACAACCTAAAGAAAAACTACAATTGAAACAGTCTACTATAGATCCGGTATTTCACCTGTAAAAAGCATAAATAAGAACAATCCACACCCAGCAGATCAGAGTAGAAGGGAAGATGAATGGAGCTAAAGGCTGAGAAAAACCCTGTTAGAGGTCTGAGAGACATGAATGGAGACTCAGCTTTCAGCAGGACGCCATCCCTAAAAAACAGGCTGCAAATGTAATGGTTTTTCAACAGTCGAGGAAAAAGTCCAGACCTATAAATCTCCACAGAGAGTTCAGTAGTTTCTTCATACAAGCCTTCTAGGCTAGAATGCAAATCCAATAAAGAGTCTTTGGACGAGCAAATCGCCTTTAAAGGAAAATTCCGGTTTTTAACACTTTTAGCCCCTTTTCTGTAGTGTCCAGGATGAAATCGAATGATCGACACCAAAATTTTGACAATTGGTCCTGTCTCTGCTATTTGGCTCATGCAGAATCCCCCCCTGGCTGCTTCAGAATGGCTTCCATTGTGCATGTCCGATAATGTCCTTAAAACAACCTTAAACGTTCTTTTTTTTAAATATGCTACTCACCGGGTCGTCAGCGCTGTTCAATGACGTTCACAAAAAAGTTTCGTGAAGAAAAACCGTTCCTGTCTTGTTTTATTTATCGAATCTGAAGCGTTGCACACTCCACCACTAGTTGGCGACAATGTCTCTATACTTTGGGATTGTATATGAATATGTCCTCCTCAAGAATCCACCTTTCGTATTCCATTTTCAGAGTTTTTTAAAGTGTTTAACAGAGACGTTAGCACCTCGACGTCGGAGTACACAGAGTGAAGCAGAAACACTTGGGCCTTGCGAAAAGACTACAACTAAGCGTAAACAGGCCCCATTTCCGTTTCCGGTGGCGGAGGGATATTGACTATTCCAACAGAACTCAATGGGATTTACAAAATGCTAAATAAAACAAGACAGGAACGGTTTTTCTTCACGAAACTTTTTTTGGAACGTCATTGAACAGCGCTGACGACCCGGTGAGTAGCATATTTTAAAAAAAGAACGTTTAAGGTTGTTTTAAGGACATTATCGGACATGCACTATGGAAGCCATTCTGAAGCAGCCAGGGGTGGATTCTGCATGAGCCAAATAGCAGAGACAGGACCAATCGTCAAAATTTTGGTGTCGATCATTCGATTTCATCCTGGACACTACAGAAAAGGGTCTAAAAGTGTTAAAAACCGGAATTTTCCTTTAAGGTTGGTACTAATTACTGTTGGTCAAACAATATGAAAGTCTAGATGTTTTGGGCTTTAATGTAAAAAAGCATGTGCAACTCAATGACAGTGAGTTTACCACGCATGCCTGGTTGTTTCAACGGCGTATGTACAGCTCTGTAAGGCGTTTTATAGCCAAACGAAATAGATGGAGACATGTTGAAGTTTTCCTTGAACCTCTAGACCAGGGGTCACCAACCTTTTTAAGGCTGAGGGCTACTTCATGGCTACCGAGTCATAGGAAGGGCTACCAATACTGACCTATGAACTGGAGGGATCAGTGTTCATCTACAGTAAATCTCATCCATAAAAACTCATTTTTATTCTTATTTTATTCTTTTATTCATTTCTAATTTTCTTTTTAATATTGTCATTTTGAAACCACTGAAATATGATTTAATAGTTAACATGATGAAATAATACATAAATGATTAAAAAGAAGAGCAACAGAATAAAAAATAAAAAACTTAACCCACTGAGTGCGTTCTTCTGTTTTCAGCCCCCCATGTGGTCCTTGAGGGGCCCTTGGTGACCCCTGCTCTAGATCCTAATGGTTCTCTGATCTGTGAGTCTCTGTGAGTGAAGCTGTTTCAAAGTCTCATTGATTACCAAAGTTGGGGTCGTGACCCCACCTGAGGTTCCTTCTTTAACCAGTAAGGATTCTCAAGATCCACTACAGAAATTAAACCAAGCAAACAGAACCAACGACTTTGGTTGCTGATGCTGTTTGTAACAAACTATTAGGCCGATAGTTAATTGATATTGTAGAAATATTTGCTTCTAAACCAATATTTTTGGTCATAAGTTAACTCTGGTACCATTTTGTGGGTAAGAAAGTTTGAATTAGAGTTCAGTCTGGCTAAAAATATATAATTAGGGATGTAAATTATTGATTAAAGAATGAATCCAAAGTTGATCTTTTCAAGCTACTGCTAAGCAGCCATTTTGTCTCGCATTAAGAGAATATTTCTAACATGAAAGAAAAAAATGTTTTTTCGAATGTACTAAACTGAAAAAATAGTACATCATTATGTTTTTAATAATTTATTGTTGAGAGTGTTAAAATTCTGACTGAATAAATAATTCCTTTCATATTTCTTTACATATTAATGCTCTTACCGTAAATCCTCTAATATATTCCGGGGCCTTAATTTCACTCCGTTACATCTTGGTCCAGGCCATTATTGGAAGGAGGCCAGAATTAGAGGCAGGCCTTTATTTCCATTTTATTAATTTATTGAAAAAGTAGAGTTACCATAACAATATGCAGAACATTATTCAGACATCTTCCAGCAGCTGCAATTTTATTTATGCACGGAAATACAAAAAAAAAAGACACAGAATGGAATCTTGGCCAAACTGACTTGCGAAATAAAGTTTTTTAAAAACATTATTTGAAACTGTTCTGCCATCACAGCGAAACTGTATTTGAGGCAGGCTAAAAGGAAATAGGCTACCAGTATCGTATATTTCAAGGGAAATTCAGAACAATGAAGGCCAACGAAATTCTGTCATTTTAACGCTGCCTGGTTACTGCCATTACACCGGTAATCATGTGTCTTTCAGATCGGAACGATTGCGTAAGGCCACTACGATCTCTGTGTAAGGATGGGACTTCCCATGCTAATGGCTTGCATTCGTTAGCAAACACTGCCCCCCTGTGGTACTTGTATGTTACTATCACAGGTTGTTGAGGACTGCCCAGGAACATCATTGTTTCTAATTATAGCCCCAGCCTGTATACGAGTCCAGCCATTATTTACCTCCGCCGACAGCCAGACAGACAATTATTAGAGACCCGGCCACTAATGGAATACAGGCCAATATTAGAGGATTTACGGTATTTATGAGATCTAACAAGAAGGGAACCTATTAGGTGACAGAATAAAAAGTATAAAAAAATAAATAAATTTGAAATTATAATAAACAGACAGGGTATATCGCTCTAATATAGTGGCAGACTTTTTACTACTGTTCAATGACCTGGATGCTACGTTTGATAAAGCTCTCTAGCTTTATTTTGATCCAGCAATCAGCTGGGAGAGATGGTGCGCCGTTAGCTGAGCTTTTAAACAGGTGGCTCTGGTTTCTCTTATAGGAATGGTAAAACTTTTCTCATAAAGCCATTAACTCAAACCGTTTCCCGTCTACCATGCTAACTGCTAGCATGCCAACTGCTAGTACGTCTACTTCTATCCTGTTCGAAACGTTTAGCATAATGTCCTCCACTTTTCTAGCATCACATCCTGACCAATTGATCTCAGCAGATTTATTCATTCATTGAGGTTTGAACTGAAGGATTTTATCAACAATCAGAATCACAGAAAGTTAATTCTGCATCAATCTCGTCATCAAATCAAACCGGATCCCTGATTCATTCAATGTTCTCCTTAATCATGCCTCCACTCTGCCATTACTTCTACTACAAATACCAGTGAGCATCTGTTAAAGAATGCACCTCAGTGCCCCCTAGTGGACAACATGTAAACCATTAATCAATAATTAATCATTAGTAGATGATTTGTTTATATCCCTCACTTAGACCGCTGAAAATGTTACGATTAATGATCTTGAGGTTGAAAATCATTGATAAATAAACAAAACAAAAATGAAAAAAAAATATAAATAATAACATATAGGCCAAACTAAATCAAAATTAAATATAAAATATCCACCTGCGCCAATTGGGAATGTTTCAACCGTTTTCTTTGCCTTTAAATAAGATCAGGGGTTCCCATAGACACAGTCTGAACCCCCCTAAATTAATGTTCCATGTAACCTTTATTTATCTAAATTATGTAAATATTAAATATACCAAAATATACACTTAAATGACCCATTAAATACATAAAAAAACAATAATCTAAAACATGTATATAATTATGTCCTGTTATATGAATATTTTAATTTAAAGTAATTTAATATATATTTATTTTGATGAGTTATTTTGAGGTCTGTTTCATTTCTGGCTGAACTGTTTGATGGAGGTGGATGTTCCCAAACGGAGGAAGGAATCAGAGACACGTTTAAAGGAAGGATGCTGGAAAACGCTGAGAGCAGCTCACACTCTGAACAGAAACTCAATAAAAAAACAAAAACAACTTTTTACACACAAAAAAAAAAAACACGCAGAACCAAAAGACAAGAAGGAAATAAAGACTAAAAAAAAAGGCCAGAGATGGAAAAGCTTTAGCCAAGTGACCGACAGCAGATGGAATTGTGGGAATTGTTGTTTTTTTAGTTTTTTTCTTACCAGGCTTTTGCGCCCCATGAGCCTCCTGCTCTCCGTTCTCCAGAGCGGCCACAGCGTCTGCACATACAGCCACAGACACACACAGACGGTTCATTACTGTCCATCTGACTCCTAATGGCTCCGTCCTCCAACACTGTTTGCTCAGTTTGAGGATTTTCACTGTTGTTGGGATGTTTGTGTGGTTTGGACTAAATGTGCCCGGCAGAGCAAAGCTAATAGGAAGTGGTGTTCAATCACTGCGATTTGTTCATTCACCATCTAAGAACCTGACTCCAAAAGCAAACATAAACTTTTCTCAATCTAATATTAGTATTTAGCTCATTAAAGGTTTTAAAAATCAAATTTTTCATTAATCACAGAGACGGCAGCTGATTTAAACTCCCAGGTCACCTCAGAGTTCCTGTGCAGGACTCTGACTTCACTCCTGCTGACAGGAGGACAATAACTGGCGGACGGCCTCGCCCCGTGTCAGCATGTCTGCTCCGCGGCTGATCGCTGGCGACGCCGCCCACGGCCCGTCCTGCAGCCGGCTGTCACGGTCTGCTGTCTGAGCAAAGCGTCTGGGAAACCAGAACGGGCCCTGAGAGCCCAGTCATCCACGGTTAGCTGTCACTTCCTGTTATCCGCCCGTTCCCTCACCGGCTACTTTGCTCCGCGTTCGCATGAATCCTGCATCTCTGTTTCCGACACATCCAGGCTCAGCCTTTGCTGCTGTGCAGCAAATTAAGCAGCACAGCGTCTTAACGCACCAAATAAGGCGACATTCTGGCTCTGATCAGATGATGAGCATCAATCCGAGGCAGAAAACTAAACTACAGGGAGAAGAATAAGGATTCAGTGCTTTCTACTGCTGCAAAAGTGAAAGCAACTACAGGCTATATCTGTTTACAATTCCACTTCAAACTGGAGCTAAACCAGAGACAGCTTTCATTGAAATCAACTAAGAGATTTGGAAATGTGGAATAAAACACAAAAAACTCAAATTCAAAGGTTGTTTTTTATTGCAGAAACCAACAAGTGCTCCTTTTTTATAATTAAAGGCACTGCAGAAAATTTTTATCTTAATAAGTCAATTAAAAATAAGTGCATTTTTTCTTGTATTGAGGAGGTAAGTGAGACACTTTGCCAATGGAACAAGACAATTGACATTTAAAATCAGAAAAAAACAATTGCATTTTCTTATTTCAAGTGAATTTTATCTAATTATCTTATTTTAAGTGTAAAAATACTCATTCCATTGGCAAATCCTCTTACATACCTTCTCAAATTAAGGGTAAATACACTTAATTTAAGAAATCTTTACTTATTTCTAGATTGTTTTTGCAGTGGGTATAGTGGAGGATGTTCTTTTTCTGGGTGCATTATCTAAATCAGTGGTCCTTCTAATTGTCAATCATTCTGCAGGCATCTTTATGTCCTACACGTACAAGCTTCTATGAACGATGTAAACAGCAACTATTAAACAGCCCATTTCTCCTCATGCACGCTCTAATAGGCATTCCCTTTGGGAGCAGGTACAGGGTTGAGCATGTGCTTTTTTTTTGTGCAGAGGGTGGGTCTTTAAAAACAAAATCGTATAATGGAGGATTTTTCGCACATTTTTTTAATCTATTTTTTGAGTTTTTACAGCACTAGTGAATTTTTTTTTTTTTGGGACAGTATGAGAGATGGGGAGAGACATGCGGCAAAGGAAAACATGTCGGATTCGAACCCAGGTCGCCCGCATCGAGGACTAAAGGCCGTTTATACTCAGAAACCAGTTAGTCTGCATGTGAGTCGCAGTGTACGTTACATACGTTTCTCAGCCTTGCAGGTGAAACAATCTGAGTAAAAGCATTTTTCACTGGATAAATAACATAACTAAATATATAAGACAAGAGAAATCTAAAATTTCTGACCACAACTTCATGTGTGAAAAGACATTTTGATCCCCTTAAGCCCAGAGGGTCTTAGGAGTAAATTCCACCTGAAATTATACATGTGAACTAAAGCAAGAAAAACTCCCAAACTAGAAATTGGAAATACGATTGTTTGTATTTTTCTGAATTTTTTTAAATGTCACCAGGTCTGATTTATAGGTGATAAAACAAATAAAAAATTAAAAATATTTAGCCTGACAACATTTTTTTTTTCCTAAATAAACACTGCGAAACACCATGAAAGCCCATTTGAAACTCTGGATGAGCCTCAGACTTTATAGATCCACATCTTAACTATACGTCAAGCAAATTTGGACTAAAGTCCAGTGCTGGACATTTGGCTAAATTTTATTTTACATTTTTATTCTAAAATGTATTTTAATTGAAACATTTATCCTATTCTATTTTTTATGTGTTTTTGTATTTTAGCCTTCAGCTTTTATCTTATGTTCCTTAACTGTGATTCCTGTACAGCACTTTGGTCAACCCACGTTGTTTTAAATGTGCTTTATAAATAAAGTTTGAGTTGAGTTTGAGTACGCAAATCAACAATATTTGCGTAAAGCTCACTGCGAAATACTGCTGCAGGAGGATAACCAGCGCTTTAGGCCTCCATAGATGTGTTGTGTGCGCTAACCACTGAAGCGTTCCCTCTATTATAAATTTAAGTTTAGTTCCTCTATAAAGTCAGTTTTGGTGCATTAATAAGATCAGGCGCTGCAGCATTAAATTAGAAAATCATCAGAAGATTTTTTTTGTCGGTTTTTAAAGAGAAACGTCTGACCTTTAAATATTCGAATTTCAATATCTGAAATTTAAAATTGTAACATTTTCAACGGCCGATTGTTTTTAGATCTACATTTCCAAACTTAACATTTTTCCTTGTTTGTATTTTCCAAGTTTAGATTTTAAAGTTAGAATTTTCAATCTTTAAATTTTGAACATTTATATTTTCAGTGTTCATTTTGTTATTTAAATTTTCAATGGTTGATTTGTTAACATTTCAATTTTCAGACTGAATGTTTACGTTCAAATTTCCCATGTCTGTATTTTCCAAGTTTAAAATTTCAGTTAATGAAGTTGTACGATTAAAATTTTCCACATTAGAACTGTTTTCAACTAAATTTTTAATGTCTCAAATATTTTGTTTAAACATTTGTTTAAAGTACCTGCAGAAATCCTCTTCCTCTCAGGCGTTCTTGTAATTTCTTCTCCCTCTCAAATTCAGTCCTCTTGTGAAATAAGGGCCCACATATTTGGACAAGTATTTTTAGTGTCTATTTTTATCTAAATTCCTTTTTTTTTGTGAATTAAAACAGAAAATGAAACTCAAAAAGGTTTTAAATGTTGCTTAATCCTTTTTGAATCAGAAAAAGTGAAATGTTCTTTACTTTAATTTCTATATTTCTATTCTAAAGCCAGAGTGCTACGACCATTTTGCTTTTGTTTTAGAAAAATTAAACGACTTAAAGTAAAACTGATCCTTTTCACCATCCTATTTTTCAATGTATCATTTAAAAAGTCAAACCTTTTTCTCGCCGTCAAACTGTCACTAATTTAGCTCCATACATCCCCAGATTCTGCAGGACCTTGGAATAAAACCTTGGCTGCAGAGAATCCGCAGCGATGAGCTGATGCTCCAAACCGTATCTGCGAGCGAACGCTGACCCGATGGCTGAATGACACCCCCGCTTATCCAACATGGCAGCCGCTGTCTCACAGTGTGGAACGCTACGAGTCATTTAGGAGCAGCTGCAGCTCCTGTTACCAGGCAGGCTCTGCTTCATCAGTGGCTCTCAAAGATCTGTTTCTGGGTGAAGGTTATTTGGTTTTATTTAATAAGAGAAGAATCATTCTTTATGTTGTTTCACAGAAATGAAAGTGAAACAGACGGACGCCTCTAATGTTCAGCCTCTGTGTTCGTATCAGCAGCCATTTCCAGGCCTCCTCACCTGCCCGGGTGTCATCGTTGTCCAGCAGGGGGATGTAGTCCGTCTTCCCCACCGTCTCCTTCACCTGATCGTCGAACGTCTCGGCCTCCAGCTGGGCCATAAAGTCTCTCTCCACCTTGCCCTCTGGGCCGGGCTGCGCAGGGCTGTCCGTCAGCGCGTCGCTCAGACTCAGGTCCAACTCTGCCATGGCTGGAGAGGAACAGAAACGGGTCAGAAAGTCAGCCAAACAACCAGGATTAGATTAATCTGATTATATCTGGCTGTTTGAGGTAAACAGAAGTCCAGAACTCAACGGATCGAACCCACAAACAAAGTCAGGCTGGAAAACTGAAGAATAAAAAATAAGTAAATAAATAAAACCAAACAATGGGTCCGATCTGATCGGAAACTAACTTTAATAATACTTTCCTCCACAAGGGGGCAGCTGTTAACATGAAACACTGGAACAACAACATTCAGATCATCATCATCATCATCATCCTGATAGCTGCATCAGCACAATATTAATGACACTTTGGCTCAGAGAATAAATTGTAATTAATTGATTAATGTAAATATTTTGATCAATCTGGTAAAGATTGTTACCTAAAGCAACAGAACAGACTCTAAAACGTGCTGTTTGCAGAAAGAATAACCTGCCTATAGCAGTAATTTAGACCAAACTATGGAAATATATAAACATTTGACATTTAAAATAAAAAATCTTAATAGTTTACTTTTTCTCTACATTTTTTTGACATTTGTGTTTCACTTAAAAAATACAAATTAAAGACTATAAATGTTTTCATTTAGAAAAGCTAATGTACTTAAAGTATCTCTTCTTAGATAAATAGAAATAAATAATATAAAAGATTATCTAATATCTACAGAGATCGAAAGTTGCTGTCCTAAATTACTTAGAAGAATTTTCGGATTTTTTTTATCTTGATAATTCATTAAAAATACTTCATAAATAAACTGATAACAAACATGGCTTTAGAAATGGCAACTAGGGATGAAATTACGTTTTCATATCAAATCCAATTGATATTTTTTTTCCTTCCTTAAAATGTATTAAAAAACAATGAAAAATTGCATAAATTACTATAAAAAATGACCTTTTATTACGGATGCACGATATTGGGATTTTGGCCGATATCCGATATGCCGATATTTTAAAACTCATGTAGCCGATAACCGATATCGATACCGATGTTAAAGCTGGACAAAAATAAGTAGTCATTGAAAATAGCAGTTTTGTTATCCATTTCTGACACTTTGAAAAATAATATACTCAAATATATTTTCATATGCTGATATCAAATTGATTTTTTAAAACGCGGTATCGATCTATTTTACTTTCAAAATCTGGTGAAATTTCATCGTTCTGTTACAAACTCTCGTGATATTTTGCAAATTCTTGTGAGATTTTGTTAGTAAAATAGATCGATACCGCGTCAATATATCAACATATAAAAATATGGCAACATTTCGTGAATTTTCTGGGTTATTTCGTAGCATAACGATGACATATAGCAATATTTCATTAGTAAAAGAGATTGATATGGTGTTTTTAAATGGCAATATATCAGCATATGAAGATATTGGGATATTTTAATGTATCAATATTTTTTCCCTCGTCTTTAGAAGTTTTTAAGTCTGTAAAAAAGAAGTTTTTGAGGAAGAAGAAGAAGTAGTATTTTTTTTTTTTTTTTTAGACTTTAGAAACTCAGAAGCTGATCAAAGATCGGGTTAAATATCGGTGGGGTGGCCGATGTCCGATATTCAGTTTTAAGGCCGATACCGATAGGGGGCCGATTATATCCTGCATCCCTACCTTTTATTTCAATCATCCAAACTACAAACAATAAATCAAAGTGTGTGAATCTGCCAGTCATCTACTCTAGTCGTTATCAGGACAAAAAGTGATGAACTGATGTTGCTCTGAGCTGAGGAAGACCAAGGAGTTCATTAGTGGAATTAAAAAACACAAATTTTGCCAAAAAATTAATTAATCAAATAAATCAACCGCCCAGACCTGATGGCGGCACACCGTTATAAACCAGGGGTCCAAACTGGCTAGATCATTCCTGGCTGCAGAATTAACAATTAACAGCTTTAATTTAATGTGTAATTTACCTCATTAGAGCTTTAAAGATCTCACTTTTATGTTAATTCTGCTTTTTAAATTCTTTGTTTTAAAGAAGTGGATCTAGTAGAATAGAAGCTCATGGATAGCATCTATGTTTAAAAGGCTGCAAATATATTTAAAAAAAAATCCAAGTTCTAATAATAAGTATTTGCTGCCCTCTGCTGGATTTGTTGGCTTACTACAGAAAAACAGGCTGAGAAACAAACAAATATATATAGTTTGTTAATAGAATTTGGTGAGTGTTTTATTGTTTTTTGAGATTCAAAAAACTAGAGTAAGCCTTTAATGTCATAAATAAATCATATTAAATGTTACCTAAGCCAAAGTGTTTACTTTGTGAACAATAGGAAGAAACTATGAATAAACCCACCCAAACAGAACCCACCCAAACAGAGCCATGGCTGCTGGAAATAACTGCATGTAGAGTTCAGGGTGTGTCGGCTGCCTCCACCACAAAGCCATGCTGGTCAGAGAGAAAAAAAAAATAAAAAAATGCCTCCGCTTCCACATTTAGCCCCACCTCGTCTCCATGTGTACTACGGCACCAAATGTGTGCCAGCTGCACAGTTTTCCTGTGTGCGAAAAGAAACAGGCTGCAAGCGAAGGGCTGATGTCTCTGCTGCGTTCAGCTGCTTTTATTTGCCCTGTGGTTTCCTACATGACCGCAGGAGGAGAGCTTTTCATTAGACACGGCTCTAAGAGGACTCTATCCCAGGACTAGTGCTGCTTTCTGTTCCCTTTGTTTGACTCCAGCTGGACACTGTAGGTAGGAGTCAAACTCAGGTGTCCATGTTCCAATCCCCTGCTGCTAACAGCTTTAGCGTGGCTACATAGCTATGATCTGAAGTCAATATATAAAGGAAACCACCAAGGTTTCTGCTCAGTAGGTTGGTGTGTGTGTGTGTACCTGTCAAGCCATCAGAGTGAGGACCACATTTCAGATTTCACCATGGCTGTGTCCCAATGTCCACCCTTATCACTATATATGGCACTATATGCTGATTACACCATTTTAAACCAGTGTCTGAATGTAGTGGATGAAAAAGTAGCGGACTGGAAATTTCCCAAAATGCACCTTGAAAAGTAGTGATCATCTATGATCACTTGACGAGCAGATACCACGAGGAAAATAACTATTTGAAGGACCAGTTGTAGTAAAGTGAGGACATTTGCTGGTCCTCACCAGCTATCTTGCAGTCAGTCTGGTTTATATGGAAGAAAAACAGTCTCATTGGAATCTGTCTTTTTTTTAAACACCGAATTTTAAACACTGAATTTTTTTAACAACAAATTTTCTTCCAAGGATCTTGGTTTGATCCGGAAGAAGCGGCCGGCGGCAAACTTTTTTTCTTCTCCATTTCGGCCAGAGGCAACATGGCGGCGGCAAACAGACAGGGGTGCTGTACTAGCTGTGATGGGCTCAGTTGTTTCACCCAGTCTGATAAGAGGAAAAACTGATAGCTTTCTGTTAGTAGCTAACTGACGTTTTGTAATTCTATCTGTTTAACAAAAAATAATTCCTCATTCAGCCGGGAACAGTGCTGAGCGCAGCCATTGTGTCACGTGACCAAATGAGCTAATTTCATTGGCTAGAAGCTGCTCGACTCTATCGAGTGTAGATTGCTTTGGCTTGAGTTCACCAAAAGGTCCCTTTGCGGCTGGATCTTCTGCAGCTGAATTTTTGCAGCTGAATTTTTTTGCAGCTGAATTTTTTTTGCAGCTGAATTTTTTTTGCAGCTGAATTTTTTTTGCAGCTGAATTTTTTTTGCAGCTGAATTTTTTTTGCAGCTGAATTTTTTTTGCAGCTGAATTTTTTTTGCAGCTGAATTTTCTGCAGTTGATTTTTTTTGCATTTGAATTTTTTTGCATCTGAATCTTCTGCAGCTGAATTTTCTGCAGCTGAATTTTTTTGCATCTGAATTTTTGCATCTGAATTTTTTTGCAGCTGAAATTTCTGCAGCTGAATTTTTTTGCATCTGAATTTTTTTGCATCTGAATTTTCTGCAGCTGAATTTTTTTCTGGTGAACTTTTTACCAAATAAAATTGGGTTTAAGGAATTCAATGTCTAAAAAAACTCTGTGTTTAAAATTAGGCGTTAAAAAAAAGATTCCAATGAGACTGTTTTTCTTCCATAGGTTTAGGGTTAAGGTGTCATCTGGGTTAGGGTGAGGTGTGCACTGGTAATGGTTAGGTTCAGGGCTAAAGGCTGATTTATACTCAGAAACCAGGTCGCCTGTGTGTGTCACAATGAACACAAATGTTCCCCCTTCCAAACTCTGCTGCACCTCTCCACAATAATAGGTGACTGCAGACAGGAGGCCTCTGATTGGTCAAATTAATTAAGTTGATATAAAAAAAGTTAAGTGAAAAAATATGTAAAAGGTAAAGAGTTAATAAACCTAGTTAACAATTGTGTTGAGGTTTATAATCCAAAAAATGTAAGTGCCAGTATCAGCATTAACGGCTCTAAGATTATGTTGGACCAAAAAAAGTGTTTCTTTCACTCTCTGAATGTTTTTCATGAATTTCTTATAAAAGTACTTTTGTTATTTTTCTTAATATATTCAGGCAAGTTGGTGTTTCTTACTACATTGACATTAATTTTTGCCTTAAAATATCCATATTTTTTTATGTTATAAAGGTACAAGGTAAAGGTCTTGTGTTCCTCTATGACTACACATTAGGTTTTGAACATAAAAAGTTAACAAAACAAAGAGAAAATGAAATATTTTAATTAAAATTGTAGCTTTGAACAGGGATGTGGTATAAATAACTCTTATGCACTGTTTTTTCTTAAAATAAGTGTATTTGTTCTTGGATTGAGAAGGTAAGGGAGACATTTTGCCAATGGAACAGGACAATTTACCTTTAAAATAAGAAAACACAATTGAATTGTCTTATTTCAAGTGCATTTTATCAAATTATCGTATTTTAACTCTCACTGCTGCGGGAGGAGAACCGGCCCTTCAGGTGTCATTGGGTTAGGGTGGGGTACGCACTGGTAAGGGTTAGATTGAAAATTTGAATGTGAAAAAAATTTATTTGAAAATGTAAAAA